GAGTTGCCACGTCAGCAGACTACGTCAGTACGTCAGCAGGCCACGTCAGCAGGCTACGTCAGCAGACCACGTCAGCAGGACACGTTAGCAGTGCCACGTCAGCAGCAAGGGATACCACATCAACAGGCCCCCGCCCGGTCTATGCTGTTGCGATCTCAAACAGCAGTCATGGACCAGAGGCCCGGGGAAGCAGACGAGGCCTATCAGGCCCGCATGCTGGCCTGGAGTACCGAGACTAAGAAACGGGCAGATGACGCTGCAGCAGCAGCGAAGAAGAAGGCAGAAGATGCCGAGCAGGCACGTCTGCTGGCACTTGAACAACAGCGCCAGCATGACGAGGCAGCAGCAAGGGCTGTCGATGAGGAAAGAGTCCAGCGTCGTGAGAAGGTATTTACCAGAGAGCGGGCGTTACTTACCATGGCAGCGGAATGGGGGACCGAGGCCGAGAATAACCAGTTGGAGGACAACGCAAACAAGATAGCGCTCCTCCTCTCGCATCTCACGGATCTCCTGGCAAACTGCATTACACATCAGGCAGAGATCCTTGGTCTCGACAGATCGCTAGCTCACCTCCAAGACCGTTTTCAGCGGTTGGAGCAGCGACCAGTCTCCGCCGCCGACGCAGGCTCGTCCAATACTGTCGACCGCCTCAGTGCCTTGGAGATGCAAGTCGGGTCACTCCAGGATGGCGCACAGTTACAGCTCACCGCGACGCAACAGTTGCAGCRGCGGGTCTGTACCACCGCCACTACCTCGAGTTCGGAGCCGCGCGAGTCAACTCCAAAGTTTGACGCGCAGGAGATCTTCTGCGACGCCATGAAGACAGATCCGATTCCATGGTTTCGCAAGTTCGAGCTCACGCTGCAGCTCCACAATGTCAAGGAACACAAGCATCACGCCTACTTGTACTCTCGCTCAGGGGGCGCGTGTCAGGCTTGGTTGGACAACCTGTTGTCCAAGTACGGAGTGGTAGCTAACGACTTGCACACCAAGATCACCTGGGAAGATCTGAAGGCGGCGTGGCACAAGCGGTTCCAGGTGGAGCCGCCAGAGATTAAAGCCATGGACAAGCTCATGGTCTTCGAGCAAGGCACGCTGCCGAGTACGAACTGGATCGCCAAGTACCAACGCTTGACGTCAATCCCAGATATCCAGATGGGCTTCAAGGCCATCCGCCACTACTTCATCTCAAGGTCATGTCCGACATTCAGCAATGCCTTGACGCATGTCGAGGACACCTTGACGACGACGGCGGAATTATTTGACAAGGCTGCGCAGATCATCGTCACGAACAAGGAGGCCAAGAACCTCCGTTCATCTGCGTCAGGCCCGAGCAGGGACCAACATCGGCCAAGAGTGGCCGTGGTCGCAGCGGCAGCGCCGTTAGACCAAACCAGCGAGGCTGCATCTGCCAGTGAAGGAGACAAATTCGCAGCCGCCCGGGAAGGTGGCCGTGCCGGCAGAGGCCGAGGGCGCGGCAAGACGAAGGCACACACCGTTTCTAGCCCCGGGCGCGGTGCAGCAGCTCAGACAGGCCCATGGACCCCGTATGGCATCTCCGAGTCCGCATACAAAGCGCGCGAGAGATTCCACTATTGCCTTTGGTGCAACAGCGATCTTCATCAGACGCAGGTTTGCCCATTGAAAGGCAAGGGCAGACAGGGAAACTGAGTACCGCCGAGAGTGACGCGACGACACTCTCGACGCCGTCGGAACTGGTTTCTTCGCGAGTGACCAGCCTTCATTCCGAGGCGCACGCGGAAGTCGACAGTCCTCCGCTTCTATTTTCTTTTGAGGACTATGCTGCCCGGCTCGTTCCAACGCTGGGTACTCAAGCTCAAGGACAAGGAGTGTGTGCGGTTTCTTCTCCGTTCGGCAACAGCGACAGATCGTCTTCAAGTGGTTCGTCACGGGATTTGGCGCGCAAGTTCAATGTAGAGGCATTGAACCCGCTCACGTCTGGGGACTTTGCATGGCTTCGTCTCCCGACCACAGGCTGTTTGCCAGGACCGCAATGTGCAGCACTCAGCGCTAAGCTTCACACTTACCTATCCTTCTATGCACCACCAACTTCGCCGACGGATGACGAAGTCACGGTGGGGGACATCCTGGCGTATATTACCAAGGTGGCCCGCGAGTTTCGCACGCAGCGGTACGATGACAACAACGCACCGCTCATGTATGTCCGCATCCAAGTTGGGCAAGCGTCCTGCAACGCTTTGCTGGATAGCGGCGCTCTCGCAACTTCATGAGTCAGTCTTTTATGCAAAGAGCTGGCCTTGGCGCACAAGTTCGGAAGAAGGCAAACGCGACGGCGATCAAGTTGGTGGATGGTAAGACGCAACAACTTCTCGACCGTTACATCGAGGCCGTACCGGTCTACTTCGCACCTCATGCATGCGAACCGGTAACATTCGATATTCTCGACACGGACTTCGACATCATTCTGGGAATGCCTTGGCTCGCAAGTGCGGATCACACGGTCAACTTCCATCGGCGGACTCTTAGCGTTCACGACACCTTCGGCGCGGAAGTGGCGTGTACTATTCCTCTACCGCACTCTTCGATCCGGTGCCAAGTGGTGACGGCCAAATCATCCCGGGCGACTTGCGCTTACGAGCAGCCCGAGGAGATCGGCCTATGTTTTCTACGGATTGTCGCGGTAGCCGACTCTTCACCCACGGACTTATCTTCGGACCCTTGTGTGGTACGGTTGCTAGACGAGTTCGCCGATATCTTCGAGTCACCTACCGGTGTGGTGTCAGATCGGTTGATCTCTCACGAGATCATTCTTGAGGCCGGTGCCGTGCCGCCAAAAGGTTGCATTTATCGGATGAGCGAGGAGGAACTTGAGGTCCTCCGCGCACAACTCGACGATTTGTTGGCCAAGGGTTGGATCCGCCCTAGCAGCTCCCCATATAGAGCACCAGTTCTCTTCGTAAGGAAGAAGAACAAGGATCTACGACTGTGTATTGACTACCGCAAGCTCAACGCGCAAACCGTCAAGAATGCGGGGCCTCTTCCTCGCATCGACGATCTTTTTGAGCGATTGGGCGGCGCAAAATATTTTTCAAAGTTGGATTTGAAATCAGGATATCATCAAATCTCGATCCAGTCGAACGATCGCTACAAGACCGCGTTCAAGACGTGGTATGGGCATTTCGAGTGGGTGGTCATGCCTTTTGGCCTCACCAACGCCCCGGCGACCTTTCAAGCGGCAATGACCAATGAATTCCGTGCAATGTTGGACCGGTTCGTGCTGGTCTACTTAGACGATATTCTCCTCTATAGCCGGTCATTGGAGGATCATCTTGAGCATCTTCGACGAGTGTTGGAGACGCTCCGCCGCGCCAAGTACAAGGCCAACCGCGACAAGTGTGAATTTGTCCGGCAGGAGCTGGAATACTTGGGCCATTTCGTCACACCGGAGGGCATCAGTCCGCTATCGGACAAGATTCAAGCTGTCCAAGAGTGGCCGGAGCCTCGGAACGTCACGGATGTCCGCTCGTTCCTCGGTCTCGCCGGCTACTATCAGCGCTTCATCAAAGGCTACTCGAAGATCGCGGCCCACTTGAACAAGCTTCAATGCGAGGATCGGCTGTTTGACTTCGGAGAGGAGGCGCGGGGATCATTCTTCGCTCTCAAAGTCGCGCTATTGTCTGCGGAGGTCTTGCGGATATACGACCCGCTCTTGCCTACGCGCGTCACTACGGATGCGTCAGGMTATGGCATTGGTGCAGTCTTCGAGCAACATGACGGTGTGGACTGGCACCCGGTCGAATACTTCAGCAAGAAAGTGCCCATCGTGCATTCCATTGATGATGCACGCAAGAATGAGCTCCTCGCCTTCGTCCACGCGCTCAAGCGGTGGCGGCATTTCCTCCTTGATCGAAGCCAATTTCGTAGGGTAACGGACAACAATCCGTTGGTCTTTTACAAGACCCAAGACACCGTCAACAGCACCATCGCTCGATGGATGGCTTTCATCGACCAGTTCGACTTCTTTCCCGATCACATTCCCTGGAAGTCAAACCGTTTTGCGGATGCTCTTTCACGGCGTCCGGATCATTGTACCGCAGTCTACTCAACCTTCGAGATTGACGACGACCTGCGGAACAGTTTCATCCGCGGCTACCAAGCCGACCCCGAGTTTCGAGACAAGTACGCGAATTGCTCCTCTCCTAATCCGGCTCCTTCTCACTACCGGATCCAAGAGGGGTACTTGCTTGTCCACACGCGGGGGAAGGACCTTCTTTGCGTACCAAGTGATCCTCACTTGCGTACACGACTTTTTGGCGAGTTCCACGATGCTCCCGCCACCGGACACTTTGGAGTCAATCGCACGATTGACTGACTTCGCCAGCGATTTTGGTGGCCCGGCCTTCTCGGCGACGTCACGCGCTATTGCGAGTCATGCGAGGTTTGCCGACGCTGCAAATCCCGCAACCATCGTCCGTACGGCGAGTTACGACCACTGCCAGTCCCGTTGAGGCGAAGAGAAGCGATTGCCATGGACATTACCGGCTGTTCCCCAAGCACAAGACCGGAGTGGGTGGGATTCTTACGGTGGTCGACCGACTCACCAAGTTCGCCATGTTTTTACCTTGTCGCTATCATGCCAAGGCACCGGAGTTGGCCGACGTTCTTTACGCCGGTTGGATTCGAACCAAGGGTTACCCCAAGGAGATCGTCTGCGACCGCGACACTCGGTTTATGTCCGATTTTTGGTTGGCGCTCATCAAGCGATGGGGCTCATCTCTCAAGCCCACTTCAGCTCGCCACCCTCAGACCGATGGCCAGACGGAGAGGGCGCATCAGACCGCACAGGTTCTTCTTCGCACTCTCATCTGCCCCGACCAGAAAGACTGGGTTGAGCGACTGCGGGACGTCGAGTTGGCCTTCAACTGTTCCATCCACCCGGCTATTGGGATATCACCCTTCGAGTTCGAGCACGGCTCGCCGGTCACGTCACCGTTGGACACTATTACTCCACGCACGGCCGAGAGCGACGACCATCTCCTTTTCTTGCGTCGGATGCAAGAGCTTCTTGTCAAGGCACGCGACCAGATGGCTAAGACGCAACAGCGCATGAGCCAGCAGGCCAATCGCCAGCGTCTTCCTTGTCCATTCCGCGCCGATGACCTCGTCTGGGTTTCCGCAGCGGAATTCAGCCTTGAACAAGACATCTCTCACAAGCTCCTTCCGAAATGGATGGGGCCTTGGCCGATTGTAGCGCCCGCTGGGGACGCACCCGAAGGACCTTCCTTCACGATTCAGCTGCCCGGCCACATGCCCGTCTACCCAGTCTTTAATTGCTCCAAATTGGCTCTCTACACGCCAACGGAACATGACGATTTTCCCGGGAGACGTACGCAAGACCCACCTTCTATGGATGGTTTTCAGAAGGTCGGCGACATCATCTCCCAGCGACGCTACGGCAGCAGGCCGACTGAGTATTTGGTGCATTTTGCATACTGCACACACCGAGTTGACCGATGGTTAACCCGTGCGGAACTTCAAGCGACAGCTCCAGACGTTCTCGCACGCTATGAACGCAAGATGCAAGGCAAGCCGTTTCTTCGGTTCCACGCCGCGGCCGCGTCCAGGTTCCACCTTCAGATCGTCGGCTTCGCCCTCACCCCGGCTTGACTTCATAAGGAGGGGGGGGTGTTACATGCTGCGCCTGCACACACAGGCCATTTTCCAGGCCCTGCGCCCTTCAGCCAAAAAGCCTAGAATTCAGCCTGAAAACAGGGGCCTACAGTCCCTATGTCGTTTCAAACTAAAAATGGCAAGAGCCTTTTTAGCCTGAAACGAAGGGCCATTTTCCGGCCCTGAAACTCAGGCACCAAACCAGGGTTTCGGGAACAGGCTATTCTTAGCCTGTATCCACACCAGCCTCAACAGATGCTGCAGCGCCAGCCCCTGGCACACTTCGGCATTGGCAAGAGCAGCCTCCTCGGCCTGGCTGGCCCTTCAGGCAGTCAGGCAAGAGCAGCCTCCTCGACCTGGCTGGCCCTTCAGGCAGTCAGGAGGCAGGCCGTGGATTGGCAAGAGCAGCCTCCTCGACCTGGCTGGCCCTTCAGGCA